CAGCCTGGCTCATGGTGGACAGCCTCAAGGCTCACCTGCTGCCCCAAGTAGCCTCCCTGGGGCGGCTGTTGGTGGGTCCAAGCTCAGAAGCGCCTGCTCTGGGCCACACTCGGGCTGGCCTTGGGCCCTGCCTCTCATGCTTACCAGCTACATGGCTGGGGCAGGTTGGTCGCCTTCTCCCAGCCTCAGTTTCCTCAACTGTAAAATGGGCTAACAATCCTGCAGGGAGGCTCAAATGCAATACCGTCCGCACGGGGCTTTGCAGGCTTCACGGTGCGGCTACCGCGACTCCTGGGTTTATCTGTATGCGCACCGACAGGGATGGCGGTCCCTGAGCTCCACAGATCCTGCCCTGGCCCCCCTCCCCGCAGTCTCGCTGCCCCCGCCTGCTGCCCCCGTGTACAAGCCACGTTCAGGGATCACAAAGCACGAGGAAGACGAGGAGGCCAGGCAGCCACGGGGGCTGCCTCGGTGAGTTGGAAAATGTCCAACGGGGATTCCCCCAGGGGCGGCGAGACCCTCCTTCCACAAGCCCTTCGGCTGCTCCGCTGCTCCCAGAGTCGAAGCCGGAAAAGTCCTGAGCTCCAGCCCAACCTCAGCCAAGCGCCTCTGCGGGAACTCAGCCTCCGCAGGGCAGCAGATGGTACAGCCCCGCCTCTTCTGCTCTCTTCGGCCTGGACTACTGCAGGAGCTGCTGCAGGCAGGGGAGGGGGGCCGTGCCCGCCTGCAGTCCATCCTCCATTCAGCCACCGAAGGGCAGATCTGACCAGTAAGGCGCGCTCTGCCTGGCCTTAGAACCTTTCCCCGCCCCCGCCAGTCACCCAACACCTTCCTCCCTGAGGCGCACACTCCAGGGCACTCCGTCTCTCAAAAATAGTCAAAACCAGCCAAATTCATAAACTGGCTGTTTCTCAAACAAGACCCTCCACCTCGGGCTCTCCCCTAGGCCTGGAAAGCTCTCCCTGACTCCCGACCCCCCAACGAAAATCCTACCTTGCACAGGAGGCCTCCCCCAGCCCCTCTTAACTCCAGTGCCTGCCCTCTGTTCATTATCTCCTGTTTATCCTGGGTAGAACTTGCTTTGTCCGTTGGCTTGCACGTTGTCTCCCCCGTTAGATCGTAAGTTCCTCGAGGGCAGGCACTTTTGACAGCACTTAGCACGGCACCCGGCACATAGCAGGTACTTCATAAATGCCTACGAACTGACTGATGAGACTGCGGACACTGTTGGACTCAGGGCTCTCCAAGCCTGGCCGGGTCTTCCGGAGCAGACACGCAGCTCGCACGATGCAGCGACCCAAAGGCCACGTGCTGCGGCATCAGGGACCACGTGCAGTGGAAGGCATAAGCCTCCTCATCCAGGATCCACTGCTACAAGAAAAGGATGGGGGGCTGGTCATGGGCGGGAGGGTGGGTGACTGCAGACAGACCACGGATGCACCGGGTTACTCCCAGGGCCACAGACTGAAGGAGAAAGTGAGGCAGGCCTCCCCCCGGGGGACGAGAAGGGAATGGGGAAGAGGACGTGAAGGCAGGGGTGGTAACACAGGCGGGTTTGGGGTATGTGGTGACCGAGCCAAGGGGCTACCAAGAGACAACGATGTTTATGAAGGGCCTGAAGGACACCACCTAAGATCTGTGGATGCTTTTGTTTCCCTTTAGACATTTCTGGATATTCCAGGTCCCCACACTAAGTTCTCACTTGTCACAAAGAAAACCAGGCCTGCATACAGTGACACACCTGACACTGTACACCATCCCTCCCCCTTTCTTCGTCCCCAGGGCTTATCTCCCCCCTCCCCTCCCCTTGCCCAGAGTATAGGAAGTGGACAGCAAAGGCTGGCTGAATGAGTGACCCTGACTTCTGGTGAAACGAGTTTCATTTTCCATTCTCCAGGATCAAAATTGGTTATGACCCTTACTAGCTACATGACCATGGGAGCATCATGTAACCTTTGTTAAAACAGGGTAAATGAGGGTGGGGGAGAGGTTATAAAGTCCCAGCTCCAGGCATTGGGTGGATTCTAATAAATGAAAATTAAGCCTGAGATGCAGGCAGCCTCACCCTTGCGGACAATAAACCCATTTCACAAGCTCAGTATGGGGAGGCAGGTTATCCACAGCTGCTCTAAGACAAACCCTGGTGTTTGTTAAGGGATCACAAGGTCCATACAAGAGAGCATTGTGATTAAGGCAGTCCCCAGAGTGGACGGAGGGCAAGCAGTGATGGGGAGGCCTTCAGGCCTAGCCTCAGCCTCAGCCTTGGCCAGAACAAATCCGGAGGATGGTGCTCACTTCAGGGCACACATGCATGACTGGAGACCAGTTAAAGGACGGGCTGACAACCAGCCTGGAGAAGCCTTGGGGTCTGCAGACCTTGGGAAGGAGGGGTCCCAGAGGGAGCCTGGGGAGGGGGAGGGGGGCTGGTAAAGAGGCAATGTTAAACTGAGCATTGCAACACTTGCTTAGAGCTTCCAGCTGCCCCAGGTGGAAGGGGATGCCTCGGGAGAGGGTGGGCGCCCTCCCACAGAGGTCTTTGGGACCTCTTGTTGGTGACATGGTAGAGGGTTCTGGCTATAGATTTTGTGAAATGAGATCAAGGATGTTTTGCAAATGTTGAAGCTAATGAACCTTCAATCTGCACTAAGATTTTTGGGAAACCCTGTACATAAACATTAGCTGGTGTCATGCCTGTTCCTGAGGGAGAGGACAAAGGGCTGACCTCAGAGACCTGCTTTTGACCCATACTGGCTGTGTGACTCCTGGCCCCTAGGCGGCATGGAGCCGTGCTACTTTCTCCCAAGCAACGGGAGAGCCATTTAACCTCTCTCTGCCTGTTTCTTCATCCGCAAAATGGCAGACAAGATAACCACTGAGGTCCCTTTGATCCTGCTTCTGACCCTTACCAAGTCGCTCAACACTTCCGGGCCTCAGCCGTAAATTGTGGGGTTGGACCGAGGTCCCTTCCTGCCCTTTATCTGGGATCATAGGAGAGACAGGCTGGAGGATTTCAGCAAAGCCTTTGACAGAGTTTCTCCTGCAGCCTTCCTGGACAAGAGAGGAAGGGCTGACCACAAATTCAGGCCCGTTTCTTCTGAGGGCCCACTGTCCTGAGCCCCAAGATCAGCTCTCAGCAGATGCTGCTCTTCACAGCTAACCGATCCCAAACCACCTCTCGTCCCTGGGTGCGGCCAGGCAGGCAGGGGCCAAAAGGGCCATCATCCCAGGAAGATGAAGCGGCTCCAGTCTCAGCACTCGGCTGTCCCCGTATTTAACATAATTTAATGCAGAGTCAGCTGTCCTGGGGTGCAATGAGGTGATCTTTCATCCTCAGATGATCTGCTGATGGAGGGCTGGTTCTAGGGTCACCACCAAACCATTCTAGATTCTACCCGGTTAGTTCATCATGTCTATTGACCCGACCCCCTGAAGTCTGCACCTCCCTCATTACACACCTGCTATTGTGTCTCAGTTACTGCAGAGGGTCCCATCCCCCTCCCACCCCAACACATCTTGTCAGCTCCATGAGGTCAAGGCCTGGTCTGGAACAGAACTGGGTGATGGCCTGGGGGTCTGGGCAAGGGGGAATGGCCTTCAGCTCAGCCCACAGGTGCTCAGTCCTGGTGAAACGGAAATTTACCCAGGCACACATATGTGCTTTTCACTCTGTAAAGATCTTTTGCTATTTTTTAGTTTTTTTCTGAAGTTCAAACAAAAGGTACTTAACATAACTTATATTTGTTTCCCCTGTAATTAAAAGAATTCTGGACATAAAATGTTAAAAAATCAACCCATAAGCAACAGAACTTGAATCTGTGAGGTTGAAAGGTTGGAAAGGAATGAGAAAGCTGTACACACCTTCACTGTCCAATGAGTGCTAGCGCTCTAACGAGAAGTGTTTGTTCATTAAAACGAGGCTTCAAGCACTTCTTTCTGGCCAATGGAAAACGGAAAAACTTTGGGCAGAAACAACCCCCAAGCTAACGCTTTGTTTTTAAAGCCGCTATTACAGCTGAGCTCTGCCTAGAGTTCCATCTTTATGGAGCCAGAACCAGGCCATCTAAGTGTTCGGTTTCACCCTGGAGTGGACTTTGAGCTCGCCCAAGGTCTAAGAGCTTAAATGAATGATATCTGGAAAAATAAAAAGTCTGTCAAGTGTTTTTTTTTTCCTAAACTCCTAATGCAACTTAAAAACGTCTTCCCCAACATAAAGCCTGAAAAAAACATGATCCTGGAAAAACAAATAATTCCAAAAAGGCACCCACCCGGACACAGCTCCATAGGCCATCAAACCTAATTCCTTCTTCGCCGACTGCACCTGCCGACTCTGCCAGGCCTTAGCCATGACCGGCAGTGGAGGACACTGCCCTCTCCTCCCCACACATAGCTGCCTCTATCACATTAGTCTCCTGTGTGAAGGTGGACAGTCTCTGTGTTTTAAGGGGCCAGCCACTCTCTTCCCTCTCAGGTCAGGAGCACACCCAGAAAACCATTCGTCTGACCAACACTCTCTGACCAGCAAAGACTTCTCGAGTCAGCCCTCTGCTTTCTCCACCAGCCCTAGCTCCTCTGAAGGCTTAGAGCTCTCACACAACGCAGTTTGGTGTGACTCAAAGGCCTCCCCTCCTGGGAAGGTACCTAGATCCCCAACCTATATTGTTGAGGGGGTGGAGTGGAAAAGCATCAAAGACCCCACAACACCAGATGAGGAGGCTTCAGGTGTGGGATGGAGCCCTCTGGTGATCTGGTGAAGGCCTGGGGCCCCTTCTTGGGGTTGTGTTTTTAAATTCATAGTATAAAAACAAAGGATTACAAAGGAAACCTATTCTATTAAAATAAGCATCAAAGTATTAAAATAACACACACAGATTTATGGAGCCCACTTTGGTTCGTTTTTCCTTCAACGTCCAACACAGATTCAGGGTGGGTTCTCACCATGCCTGTTTTCAGGAAAACACAAGGCTACAAATTCCCTACAGAACTGAGTCAGGCCAATAAGAGACTGTATTTTTAGGTTTATTGTCTATTGACATGTCATCAATAACTCTCACCAGAAAAATCAAACTGTCTTCTGACAGGACTCTTTGCACAGTGTTTGCAGAGAGTAAGTCCTCATCTCAGCCACATCCAGACGTTCTCTGGGGTAGGACAGCCCCTTCTCTGCAATCTGTTAGGGTGTGCAAAGTACCTGCTGACCACAGCCGTGTAAGGAATGTACGATTTCACATTATACTTCCTTGAGAAGTATCTTTTTTTTTCACTCTAATAATTTTTGTTTTATCACAGACCTACTAAAATAAGATCATTAAAGAAAAACTGCACACATCTGTAAATCTCAACTACAAAAAATATACATTTTTCCCAATTCAAATATTTGAACATTTAAAAACCATCATTCAACACAAGCAGTGAAAATGATCGTTCACCTTCGGTCACCCTGAAAACCACCCACAGGCCCAGGCCACGGGCCATTCTGGCTCCCACCTGCTATCAAGAGTCTCTTTATCTTACATGGGAATGAAAACAGCTCCATGTATTCTTCTGCTCTAGTCAATAACAAAGAAAATCCAGGTTGTCAGGTGAAAAAGTCAGTCAATGTTTTCCTTATGGTAGAATTTTTAATAATTTCTTCTCTGTTTTTCTTCTTTATCTAAAATAGTCTGTTTTAAGCTCAGCCTAGCATCTTGAAAACCAGGATTCAAGTCTAGCACTTTCTTGAAATCTTCAAAAGCTTCATCAAACTGCCCTGCAGCACAAGCCCACAAGAGAAAGCCAGGGAGCTTTTTAAATCTCTATATAACCTGCTGGAACCCTCCCCTTCCTATCACCCCAGAGGTCCTTAGGGATTTCTGTCTAGAAACAGGGTTCTCTGGCAATGTGTCCCCAGAGGCTGGGGAACACCCCTCCTCTCCCCTCCTTCTCTTTTCCTCCCCCCTCCCCTCCCCCTCTTCCTCTCCTCTTCTTTTCACCCCTCCTGTCCCCTCCCCTCCTCTCCTCCCCTTCCTCTCCTCTCTTCTTCTTTCCTCCCTCCCTCCCCTCTCTTCCCCTCCCCTCCTCTCTCCTCCCCTCTCTTCCCCTCCCTATCCTTCCTCTCCCTTCCCCCCTCTCTTCCCATCCTCTACCCTCCCTTCCCTTCCCCTCCTCTTCTTTTCACCCCTCCTCTCTCCTCCCCTCTCTTCCCTCCCCACCCCTCTTCTCCCCTCTCCTCCTCTCCCTCCCCTCCTCTCCTCCCCTTCCTCTCCTCTCTTCTTTTTCCTCCCTCCCTCCCCTCTCTTCTCCCCCCTCTCTCCTCCCCTCTCTTCCCCTCCCCACCCTCTTCTCCCCTCTCCTCCCCTCCCTCCCCTCCCAGACGCTGGCCATGCCCAGGACCTTCTCCCAGCTCCTCTCCGGGCCCACGACCCTCTGCCCTGCCTCAGCTCTACCACGTTCCCATTTACAGGATCCCCAAGGGCAGCATGCATGTCAGCAGCATGCAGTGAACAAAGGACGTCCTCACCCATCCTGTAGTAGATCAGGCCTCGGTTGTAATAGGGCACCTCAAAATGGGGCAGGGTTTGGATGGCGGCGCTGTAATCGTCCACGGCTTCGTAAAAGTCCACCCGAAGATATCTGATTTGACCCCTGTTGTTGTAGGCAGTGGCCAGATCCTCCGGGGAGTAGGGGCTTAAAGGCAAAATGGAACACTGAGCTTAGAAATGTCGTCTCTCCAGCGCTCGTCCACACCTCTTCTGGTACGAATTAGCAAACTGGACAGTATGGACCGTCCGTGCCGCGAGGAAAGCTCGAGCAGAAAGACGGACGTCGGGACCGAACGCGCCCGGGAATAGCGAGCCGGATGGCACAGATGCCCCGGGCTGGAAGAGCGGGAGCCCGGCCACAATCCCCACGAACGCAGAGGCCAGATTAACTCAAAGAAAAAAAGGCACAAGCTAGCCTGGTTCAAAGTGATCTTCCTGATAACTCCATCCATCCCGATTAGAAGGGGAATTCAAGGTTTCAGGAAAGAAAAGCCTGTCCTCTCCCACTGGAGCCCCCCCCCCCAGCTCTGCCTCTTGGAGCGGCTAGCTGGCTAGCTTCTTTCAAGGTCCAGCTCAGGTGACCCTTCCAGGGCGCCCCCCTCCCCTCCTCCAGGTGTGCTGCCCTGGCTCACCTTCTCACAAACCCTAACTCCCCACAGCATGGAAGCTGCTCGAGGAGGACCTGTGTGCACATGTCCGTATCCCTGATACAGATCGACCCCTGCACATGCTTGGCCTTAATAAAGGCTTGCTGAATTGAATTAAAATACGGAGGCCGGTCCACCCTAGATTCATAAGAGAATTTCTGAGCATTCCCGGGTCACCCTTTCTGTTGTTCACACATGTCCAGCTCTCCATGACCCAACTGGGGTTTTCTTGGCAGAGACACTGCAGTGGTCTGCCATTCCCTTCTGCAGCTCATTTTACAGAGGAGGAAACTGAGGCAAACAGAGTCACACAGCTAGGAAGTGTCTGAGGCCAGCTTTGAACTCAGGAAGATGAGTCTTCCTGACTCCCCGCTATACCACCTAGCCACCCCAGGGTATGCTTTATATATTACTTAATTATATGTATATAATAATTATATATTTCATCATGTAAACTAGACTCCTATATTACTAACTAAATAAACGTTATGATGTTTATATGTTTTCATTTGGAAAGTAGGAGTGGCTTACCCAAATTCACATAGCTAGAACATTTCTCTGGCAGGATTTGAACTCGGGTCTTGCTGACTGCAGGACAAGGGCTCTGCACTGTGGCACTTCCAACCTTTTCCCCAAGTTCACAGGGCCCCCACCCCCACCCCCATGTATCCATGGCTTTAAACGAAGCTCCCCGTACAGAATGACAAATGTCATGGAGTCAGAGACCTGGGAAGAACTGCATGAAATGACAGTGAAAGCTGATGGAAAGCCCTGGTGCCTGGGGAGGGGGGGGGGGCTGGGTTGGAGTGAAGCCTTGAAGGCAGAGACGCTAAGAGGTGGAGGGGAGGAGGGGCAGGGGAGGGTGGGGGAGGGGCAGGTAACGGGGACACCCTGGAGCTTACTGAGTTGGGGGGAGCTGACCTGAGGCAGGAAGAAGCCCCCTCCCCTGTGGCTGGCCGAGGGGCGGATGGCCTCAGAGGCCAGACCTCACTCAGCACCCCGGCCTGCCTTCACCACCTCTGGGCTACAAGGGGGGGCCTTTTGGGGGGGCCCAGGAGCACGTGGACGGGTCCCCGCAATCCTCCTATTTTTTTAAACCCGCCTGTGGCCGTAAGATCTACGGGGTGGAGTAGATGACCCCCCCCAAAGTTGGGATCCCTGAACCCCAGGAAAGACTCGCAGCCTCGGACAACCCTGGAGGTGGGGGCCTGACTGTCCCCATTCTACAGACAAGGAAACTGAGGCAGGCAAGCAGCAGAAGGGTCTGAGGCCAGAGGTGAGCCCGGAGGATCCTTTCACCGCTGCCTGCCTCAGTTTCCCCGTAAAGCTGGTTCCAGGCCCATAATCTCACCTTAATCCCCCGTGGGCACGGGCCTCTCTTGCCTCAGTTTCCCTACGTGTAAAACGTAAGCATCTCGCTGACCTCTGACCGAGACCCAGCCTGCCTCTGTTTCCCTTCCTGTACGGGACAGAGCCATTCCGAGACGGGGAAACTGAGGCCCAGAGACGCCGAGTGCGCTGCCAGGGTCTCACGGGGGGTTGGAAGGGATGTTCAAGAGGAGCCCCCCGACTAAGGCCGGGCCTCAGTTTCCCCATCCCTCCCGCGAACCCGTGATGACGATACCACGACGCCGACACCCCCCCCCCGCGCACGCAGCTTTCGCGAGACTCACGGGCCAGCGCGCGCTCCCCCGGCTGCGCAGACGCACTGGCGAATATAGGCCGAATAAAGCGCCTCGGCTTCGTCATGTTCGCCGCTCCGGAAGTGCGCGTGGGCCTCGGCTAGGGGCCCGTCGCCGCCCCGGGGCGGCTGTCCATCCATGGCGGCCAAGCTTTTCCTCTCTTGGGGGCGGGGCCGGGGCCAGGGCCAGGGCTAGGGAGCGTCCGGTAGGAGGAGCTCCGTTCTTCTCGCGGTATTTTGCGGGCGATCATCCCGGCTACCGGAGGCATCCTTGCGCGTGGGCCTCTGGCCTAAGTCTCTTCCGACCATCAAGCAAAGGGATAGGGCGGAGCAGGTTTGGGAACGCGACCGATAGGCGGCTTCCTGATGGGGGCGCGTCCAATCGGCGCCCGGCTCTGCTGGGGTCGTAGCGAAGAGAACTAGGCGTCTAGTTAGCGGGGGATGGGAGGGTCACGTGAGGGGAGACAAAGCGTAGAGTGAATGACAGAGGCCCGCGGGCCTCCCCTGGTGAGGACGCTTCTCCTTATCCCGCTCTTCGCGTGACATGTTGGCGGGGCGCGTCAGGAGTCACGAAGCTCCCACGCGTGGGAATCCCGGGCATGCTCCATCCTGCCATCCCACCCCCGTGACTTCGCGTCGGGGGAGGGGAGGGGCTGCGATTTCATCTGAGGAAAGACTGGCGCGTGTGGCTGAGCGGCCAGCAGAGGGCGATGTCCCGCCCACCCCCCTGCCCTGTTTTTGTGGGCACCCTAGGATAGGGTTGGTAGGGACCATCGAGGCTGACCCCCTGCCATCGGCCCCCACCCCTGATGCCGCCTACCCCGGGCGACATTTCTGGGAGGCTCCTCAGCAGCCCCCGAGCCAGGAGCAGGAGGAGCCTGCCCTCCCACGCCCGCCCGCAGGGGGCGCTGCCGCGGCCAGGGGAGGAGGGCCGCGGCCCGGACCCGCCCAGCACCTCCTCGAGTCCACCACGGGGGACGCCGTCCCGAGCCGCTCAGATGGGCGGGGACGAAGGAAAGCAGCCCTTCCCGACAGAGGTCGCCGTGAGGGAGGATGGCTGACGGCAGCGCCGCCGTAAGACGGGATCGACGGTAAAGGAGGGACAACCCATCTGGCACCCACGCACACTGCAGACAGCCCGGGCCCCCGGGGAAGGTGGCCTTGCGTGAGGCGGAAATCTGCCCCGCCGCTACGCCCCATCTCCAGTCTCCAGGCCTTTGCACCTGCAGCGCTCTGCCTCTTCGCCGCCACCTCGTGGTCTCTCGAGATTGGGCCCAAAGTGGCCTTCCTCACACTCTAATATGTAGGCGCATACCCCATAGTAAGCACTTCCGAATCCGGGCTTTCACGCTTCCCGGACGGGACCCTTAGCAGGCTCCTGAACTCAGTTTACCCATCTCTACAATGAGGAAATAGAGTGTGGGGTGCCTGCCTCACATAGTTGTTCTAATCAGCCAGTGAGTTAAAGTCTGCAAAGAGTTTCATAAACCTTGTGCGAGGAGGCCTGCAGTCAGTTAATGCCATTAATAGTAAGCAGCAGGGGCCTTCAGTGCCTCCAGCGTCTCCTCGGCAATCCGTGCCCCTCACGGCCGCCGAGCGATTGCGGAGGCACAGATCTCACCATCGGCTGACCCCCCCCCCCCAGGCTCTCCCTTCTCCAGCCTCCCCAGGCCCCCAGGGCCTTCCCTCTAAGAGCACTGCCCAGGTACATAGTTATCCCCTGTCCGAAGGTGACCTCCTCCAGGGCCGGGACGTGTTTTTGCCCTTCTTTGTATCCCCGAGTTTAGCAGTGACTAGCACATAATGAATGGCCGTCAGCTGAGCATGGCACTGCCTTCTCAAGAAACCCGATGCTCCCCACTGCCCGTAGGACGGCTCCAGACTCTTCCACTTGGCACCAGAAGCCCCTCACAACCTCCCCGCTGTATCATACATCGCTCCCCTTTGTGCACACACACGCACCCACGTGTGCCTTGCTGTCCACACCACAATCCATCTCAGCCTCCTGTCGCAAATCTGGAATGCTCTCTCCCGCCTCCCCTCTGGGGGGCTGTCTGGAGCACTCCCTCAGCCCAAGCCCAGCTCCCACATGAGGCCTCACCTCTGCAACAGAGGGCATTCTCCACTCCCCGTACTGTTTGTATCTCCAGTGCCTGGCCCACACTAGATGCTTGGTGATGTGTGGAAGATCACGGATGGCTCGTGATGATGTGCTGAGATGCAGAGGAAATCAGAGATTCCTGAAAGCACCCAAGTGCACAGTTGAATATTTCCCTCCTCTCCCCTGTGCCCTGCCCTGGAGTTCTGAAGGCATGAATGACGAACCAGTCAACAAGTCACCTCAGCCATTCTTCCTGGAGGGAGCATCTCAGTCTCCTCTCCTGCGGCCCCACCCACTCTCCCTGGAACTTCCCGGACTAGAGGGCCCCTCTCTGACCACCAGGTCCCTGGGGTGTTATCTCTGTTAGAACCTGGCATCGTCTTTGCTTTGGAGTCAGTGTCTGGCACAAAGGGAGCACTCCATGAATGAATGTGCTTTGGTCAGTCAGTTGTATTATGTATTATACAGGTGGGTGTTAAGGAAGCTGGGCTTTCATCTCCCACAAACAAACACTTAGACTTTGTGACCCTTCCTTGGAGGCCCGAGGCCGTCCTCCCCTGGTCATCAGACACTGGCTCAGGCAGCCACAAATGCTGTTTGCTTGGGGCTGGCCTCCATTCTGATAATGCAGACATCATCAGATGGCAGTTCTTCGACGCCCTTCGATCTGTCAGAGTTGCAGAGGAGACCTGGACACCCCGATGCCCCGATCTGCTCACAGCACACCCCGGAGAGGAAGCATCACACATGCAGTGAAGCTGACTGTAATACAGAGCTGCACACAAAGACAAGTCATTTGAGCAACAAGATATCGTTTTATTGTTTTCTCCATGAAAGAAGAACCGTCAAATAAAAATCCGAGATTCCGATCTTGGAACTTAAATAGATAATTGCCGTCCTCCCTCTGAGGCAGCCTCTCTTTGGGAGCCTGGGTTCCGTCCAGAGGACGCTGTCTCCCAAGAACAAGCCTGGAAAACAGAAGAGAAGGCACCCGCCCATCTGAGGGCCACCTTTGCCTCCCTGAGACTAGAGATCAGACACAGAGCCACACCAGGAAAGCCTATGTCCTGCTGGTCCCAGAGCCGCGTGGACGCAGCCAGAGCGCATCTGTGCTCAGCGCTTGAAGTGTGACTTTTACCTAATACGGACTGGGTGCATCTTCCCCTAGGCATATCCCAAAACAAAACAGACAGCCCCTGGGCCCAGGGAGGAGAGTGTATTTCCTCTTGTGAAGTCCCTAGGCACCCCATCCCCCACTCCCCGCACCAGCTGCTACCCCACTGAGCTGTGGCACAGGGGGCAGAAGTTATAGTTGCTGATCTCCTGGGCCAGGACACAGTGCTTGCACACGTTACACATCCAGAATTGGTACTCCATGATGGGGCTTCCCGTGGCCACACACGTCGGGAGCTTCCCTTCTCCACTGCAGGAAGGAGAGAAAAAAATCAGTCCCCAATTCTGAGCCTGAACCAGCCCCTTCTCCGGACCACTGAACGCTATGAGAGAACTGCGGAGATGAACTCTGGAGGAAATGTCTCCGACTCCTGGGGGCACCCGGGGGTCCCCGAGGGAGGCCCCACTCACCCCTCCAGGAGACTGTCCAGCTCTGACTTGCGGTTGTCCTTCGGGGTGTGCTTGGTGAAGATCTCCAGAGCCAGATCCTCGTACTGCTGCTTCTGCTCCAGGCTCAGGGTCTCCAAGGACTCCAGCTTGATGAAGGCTTTGGAGCAGGTCCCAAAGGCCCGGCTGGCACACCCACACAGAGCCAGCAGGGAGTAGATCTCCACGGCAGGGATGATGTCCTCGTAGTCCCGCAGGTGGAGAGCTAGGAAGTCAACGCAGGTCTTTACGTGGTGGGTCCTTACAGGTGTGGCCCTGGACCCTGTCATGGGGCCTGGGGAAAGGCCACGGGGGAACAAAGGTTGGGGGGAGGGGTCATGCTACTCATTTAAAGGCACCTTGGTAGGGGCAGCCAGCCCTGGAGTCAGGAGGACCTGAGTTCAAATCTGACCTCAGACAGTTGACACTTACTAGCTGTTTGACCCTGGGCAAGTCACTTAACCCCAAATGTCTCACCAGAAAGAAAAAAAAAAGAAAAATATAGCAGGATGGAGTTGTACCAAGCTAGACGAGTACGCGAGCACACGTGCACACACAGGACAAACATATGTTAGTGTTCTTTGTGCTGCTTAATCTTTCACTGCAGCAAAAGGAAACTTGACATATTTAACATGCACTTCCATATCACTGTGTTTGCCTGCAGTTGGAGGCCCCCTACCCATCTGCTAAAGTGCCAACAGACTCATTTCTGCCAGGGCGGCCACCAGGGAACCGATTCTTTGGCCAGTGAAGGTGACCCTTTAGGAAGCAAAGAGAATTCAAAATGGCTCCCAGCCCTGTCCCACCACAATCTCCCTTTGCAAGGACAGTAGCGGACAAGGGGGAGGTGGGCTCCACACACTGATCACACTGGTGTCATTCCAGAGAGGCAGCCCTTGTCCCCCCGCCAACAAATGGAGAAGGAAGGAAGGATATTCACAACTGTGAAGGAAACGTGGAACGTGAAGAAGGTGTGGACAGTAGGACAGTTCACAGCATCTCCTTGGAGGGGCAAATCAAGGACCTGTTTCACCACCCCCCCAAAGGCAACAAGAACAGTCATTTCACTGAACCCTCACTCACCTCACCTTTCAGGGTTCAGGAGGGGCCGAAACAAAGAGGGTGCCCATGAGCAGAAATGCCAAGGACCCAGGAGCAGAGAAAAGTCTGCCAAGAATGTGGCAAAAGCCCTGGCCCATCCACACCACCCCTGGCTGGAACAGGAGGAATGGGAAAGCCATCTTGCTGTGCAAACAGCCGGAGGAGCCTCCTCCTCCCGGATCACAAAGAGCCTCTCTCCAACCCACTTCCTGGAGGGAGGAGCTGGGGCACAAGCCACAAACAGGAGGGAGAGGGAGGATGATAGGCTCAGGACTCCCCACCATCCAGAAAGGGTAGGACGTGGGATGTGGGGTAGAATCGAATCAGAGACAGCTGAACTGGAGTCGAGGGGAGACTCTAGCGTGCAGAGATCCAGCTCACGCACAAAACAAGGTAGACCAGCCTCGCAGACAGCACAACATCAG